ACCGTGCTGTTTTGGTTACTATAGCTTTGTAGTATCTTTTGAAATCAAGGAGTGATACCTCCAGCTTTGTTCTTTTTTCTCAGGATTACTTTGGCTATTCAGGGTCTTTTGTTGTTCCATACAAATTTTAGGATTCTTTGTTCTATTTCTGCGAAAAATGTTGTTGGAACTTTGATAGAGATTGCATTGAATCTATAGATTGCTTTAGGGAGTATGGACATTTTAACTATGTTAATTCTTCTAATCCAAGAGTATGGAATATCTTTCCATTTCTTTGTGTCTGCTTTAATTTCCTTCAACAATGTTTTACAGGATTTGGTGTACAGATCTTTTATCTCTTTGGTTAAGTTTATTCCTAGGTATTTTATTCTTTTTGTTGCAATTGTAAATGGGATTGTATTCTTAATTTCTCTTTCTGTTACTTCATATTTAGTGTATAGAAACACAACTGATTTTTGTATGTTGATTTTTAGTCCTGCATCAAGACTGTATTCATTTATTATTTCTAAAAGTTTTTAATGGATTCTTTAGGGTTTTCTATATATAAAATCATGTCATCTGCAAATAGTGACAGTTTCACTTCTCCTTTTCCAATTTGGATCCCTTTTAAGTCTTTTTTCTTGCCTGATTGCTCTGGCTAGGACTTCCAATACTATGTTAAATAAGAGTGGTGAAAGTGGGCATCCTTGTCTGGTTCCTGTTCTTAGAGGGATAGCTTTCAGTTTTTCTCCATTGAGAATGAAATTAGCTGTGGGTTTGTCATATATTGCCTTTATTATGTGGAAGCATTTTCCTTCTATACTCATTTTATTTGGACTTTTTATCATAATTGGATGCTGTATCTTGTCAAATGCTTTCTCTGCATCTATTGAGAGGATCATGTGATTTTTATTCTCCATTTTGTTAATATGGTGTATCACATTGACTGATTTGTGGATGTTGAACAATCCCTGCATGCCTGGAATAAATCCCACTTGATCATGGTGTATGATCTTTTAAATGTATTGTTGTATTTGATTTGCTAGTATTTTGTTGAGGATTTTTGCATCAATGTTCATCAGTGATATTGGCCTGTAATTTTACTTTTTCGTGTGGTCCTTGTCTGGTTTTGGTATCAGGAGAATTTTGGCTTCACAGAATGAGTTAGGAAGCTTCCCCTCCTCTTCAATTTTTTGGGGGAGTTTGAGAAGAATAAGTATTAAGTCTTCTTTGAATGGTTGGTAGAATTCACCAGGGAAGCCATCTGGTCCTGGACCTTTATTTTTTGGAAGGTTTTTGATTACTGTTTCTATCTCCTTACTGGTGATTGGTCTATTTAAATTCTCTATTTCTTCTTGACTCAGTTTTGGAAGGTTGTATGATTCTAAGAATTTATCCATTTCTTCTAGATTCTCCAATGTGTTGTCGTATAGCTTTTCATACTATTCTCTTATAATCTTCTGCATTTCTGAGGTGTCCATTGTAATTTTTCCTGTTTCATTTCTGATTTTATTTATTTGAGTCTTCTCTCTTTTTTTCTTGGTGAGTCTAGGTAAAGGTTTGTCAATTTTGTTTATCTTTTCAAAGAACAAGCTCTTGGGTTCATTGGTTTTTTTCCTATTTTGTTTTTAGTGTCTATTTTGTTTATTTCTGCTCTGATTTTTTTTTTCCTCCCTTCTGCTGATTTTGGGCTTTGTTTGTTTTTCTTTCTCCAGTTCCTTTAGGTTCACTGTTAGATTGTTTATTTGGGAGTTTTCTTGTTTGTTGAGGTGGGCCTGAACTGGTATAAACTTCCCTCTTAGAACTGCTTTTGCCGTATCCCATAGATTTTGGCATGTTGTATTTTCATTTTCATTTGTCTCCAGATATTTTTTGATTTCTCCTTTGATTTCTTTATTGACCCAGTTGTTATTCAGTAGCATTTTGTTTAATCTCCACATATTTGTGGCTTTTCTGATTTTCTTCCTGTAGTTGATTTCTAGTTTCATACCTTTGTGGTCAGAAAAGATGCTTAAATTTATTGAGACTTGTTTTGTGGCCTAATATGTGATCAGTTGTGGAGAATGTTTCATGAATATTTGAAAAGAATGTGTATTCTGCACTTTGGGGATGGAATGTTCCATATATATCTACTAAATCCATCTGGTCTAATGTGTCATTTAGGGCCAATGTTTCCATATTGATCTTTTGTTTGGGTCAATGTGTTCATATTGATCTGTTGGTATAAGTGGAGTGTTAAAGTCCCCTGCTCTTATTGTGTTACTATTTCTCCTTTTATGTCTGTTAATAATTGCTTTATGTATTTAGTTGCTCCTATGTTGGGTGCATAGATATTTATAAGTGTTATATCCTCTTGTTGGATTGTTCCCTTTGTCATTATGTAGTGCCCTTCTTTGTCTCTTGTTATGGTTTTTGTTTTAAAGTCTATTTCGTCTGACATAAGTATTGCTACCCCAGCCTTCTTTTCTTTGCCATTTGCATGGAGTATCTTTTTCCATCCTTCACTTTCAGTTTGTGAGTGTCTTTAGGTCTGAAGTGTGTCTCTTTATGCAGCATATATATAGGTTTTTTTTTTTTTTATCCAATTAGCTACCCTGTGCCTTTTGATTGGAGGATTTAGTCCGTTGACATTTAGCTATTGATGAATATGTATTTATTGCCATTTTGTTACTTTTTTCCTGGGTGTTTTAGTAGTTCTTTTCTGTTCCTTTCTTCTTCTCTTGCTCTCTCCCTTTTGGTTTGATGGCTTTCTTTAGTACTATGTTTGATTTCCTTTCTCTTACTTATTTGTTTATTTATTAGAGGTTTCTGGTTTGTGACTACCATGAGGTTCATATATAATATTCTACATATATAGCAATCTATACTGAGTTGATAGTCTCTTTAGTTTGATCTCTTTCTAAAAGCTCTACTCTTTTACTCCCCTCCTCCCACATTTTATGTTTTTGAAATATCTAATCTCTTATTTTGTGTGTGTCTATCCATTACCCTCTTATGATTGAAATAGGTAATTTCAGTACTTTTGTCTTTTAAAACCTTCATATTATCTTCATAGGTGGTTGATCTGCTACCTTTACTGTATTTTTGCCTTTACCAGTGATTTTATTGCGTTTTGTAAAAACTAATTTTCTTATTCCTATTTGTAGTCTTTTCTTTCCCACTTAAATAAGTTCCTTCAGCATTTCTTGTAGAATTGGTTTCTTTGTGATAAACTCCTTTAATTTTAGCTTGTCTGGGAAACTCTTTATTTCTCCTTCCATTCTGAATGATAACCTTGCTGGATAGAGTATTCTTGGCTGTAGGTTTTTTCCTTTCAGCACTTTAAATATGTCATGCCGCTCTCTTCTAGCCTGTAGGGTTTTGCCTGAGAAGTCTACAGTTAGCTCTGTGGGGTTTCCTTTGTATGCCACTTGTTGCCGTTCTCTTGCAGCTTTTAAGGTTCTCTCTTTATCTTTAATTTTGGACATTTTAATTATGTGTCTTGGTGTGGGCCTCTTTGAGTTTATCTTGTTTGGTGCTCTCTGTGCTTTCTGTACTTGGATGTCTGTTTCCTTCCTTAGGTTAGGAAAGTTTTCAGCTATTTCTTCAGATAGATTCTCTGCCCCTTTGTCTCTCTCTTTTCCTTCTGAGACATCTATAATATGAATATTAGTGTGCTTGATATTGTCCCAGAGTTCCCTTAGACTGTTCTTGTTCCTTTTAATTCTTTTTTTCTTTTATCTGTTCAGCCTGGGTGATTTCCTCTAGTCTTTCGTCCAGCTCACTGATTCGTTCTTCTGTATCATCTACTCTGCTATTGAATTCCTCTAGTGAATTTTTCATTTACAGTATTGCATTCTTCATTTCTGATTGGTTCTTTTTTATATTTTCCAATTCTTTGTTGACATTCTTACTGTGTTCATCCAGTCTTCTCCCAATATCAGTGAGCATCCTTATGAGTTTTTGTTTGAACTCTTTGTCAGGTAGATGGCTTATTTTTGTTTCATTTAGTTCTTTGTTCTGGGGTTTTGTCCTGTTCCCTTGCTTGGAATGTATTCCTTTGCCTCTTCATTATGCCTCTTTCTCTGTGCTTATATCTGTGTTTTAGGTGAGTCAGCGGTGTCTCCTGATTTTGGAGAAGTGGCCTTATGTAAGAGACACCTTTTGAGGCCCAGCAGTGTTGCTTCCCTCTCATCACCAGTATAAATGTTCTAGGAATGACTCCTGTGTGGGCTATGTATGTCCTTCTACTGTGGCAGGGTTGGTCTTACTGCAGGTACCCAGGGAGTCTAGGCTTTCCCTCCCAGGCCAACTGTTTGTAAATCAGGTTTGGGAAGCCCCAGTGCAGTTGTCTGCAAGGCCTAATAGTACACTCCTGTTGCAGTTTTCTATTAAGTGAGCAGGCCCCCAGTGTGCCTGGTTGCTAGGCTCAGGGGCTTACAATTGCTATAGCCTCAGGGCTGCAAGGTTATTGTCTACTCTCTTAGGACTGCAACTGAGTGGGGCTGGCCCCAGGCATAGGAGCACCCCATTGTTTCAGGCTTTGGAAGGTGGGTCTGATCCCCTTTGTGGCTGTTTATGAAGCACAGGTCTTTTGCCACTGATAAGCCACACTTCCCACAGGTCCACACACACTGTCAACACAGTCCTGGCCTATACCCACTTCCCAAACCCCTGGAGCGTACCCAGTCACCCCACTGCAGAGGCCCTGACACTCTCCACCAATGCCCCCTAGAGTTCACCTGATCCTCACGCAGGTCCTGACCTACAGAAGCAGACACACTTGCCTGCCTGCAGGGGATTGAGGTACCCAGTCTGTGCAGGCCAACAAGTAGTCTGAGGGCTTGCTGTTGGGTGAGGCCAGTCCCTAGGGTGGGCTACTTGCCCTGGCTGAGCTGGATTAAATCTGTGCTCTAGTGTGTGTTGCAGACCCCTGGGAAAACAGGCCAGGGGAAGAACTCCAATGGCATCTGCCCACGTCTGTGTCAGCACGCCTGTACTAGGTCACAATGATGGCTGCCACCAATGTCTCAGACTCTAGAGAGGTCTCACCTCTCACTGAGATGCAACCAGAACCTACCAGGTGAGTCTCTTTTCACCAAAGGATTGTGTACTTTTCTTTCTGGTGATTTTAGGTTGCTTTCTGAGATGGGTGAATTTGTGCACGGGTCCTTTAAGAGCCAGTTTTTTTTGGTGTATGTCCAATTGCTTTTCTGAGGGTATTCCCTGTCTCAGCTAATAGCCAGTGAATCCAGATATTATGAGACTTGTCTCAGTTGTGCTGAATCTGAAGGATGCTTATAGTGGTAATGTGCCCCCACTTAGGTCCCTGCTCTTCCAGGGAAAGCTGTGCACCTTAGGGTTGCTCCCCACCAGCCAGCTGTGAAGCTCCACAGCTTGTGAAGGTGGGTTTTTTTTCTCTCCAGAAGGAATTTCTGCCTCTTCCACCTCAGTCAGGACTGTCCCTTGTTGTGGGGATTCTTTTTATCCAGTTTTCAGTTCTCTCTCCAGGGTAATTTTTCCAAGAATAGTTGTGTTCATGGGAGAAGGTGAGTTCAGAGTCCACCTATGCTGACATCTTGAGATCTCCTAAATCTCTATTTCTAACTCATATTTCTCTCTAAAGTTTCCTACCCATGTATTAATGGGTCTCCAGACTGCAGTCCACTCTGATAGTTGGCAGGCACTGAAGACTGAGTGACATCTTTCTCTGAAATGTTTCCCCTTTCATATTTGCTTAGTTATTAATATACCTGTCTCCTTTGGCAAGCAGAAACCAGGAGCCTCATCAGTTGTCTCATCTCCACATCCCCCTCCATCAATCTGCTACCCACATCCCCCTCTTCAAACTACTACCTCTATCTAATTCAGGCTGCCATAATTTCTTACACAGACTACTTTAACAGTCTTCAAACTGGTCTTGGTGATTATGGTTTTGTTATCTTCAAATGCCTTCTTCCCACTGCTGCCAAGATCTGAAAGGCCCATCAATTCTCTGCTAACACTCTCCAGCAGACCCCTGTCTTCTCTGGCAGAGAGCACAAGTTCCCTAACGGTGTCCACTAGGATGACCAGGTTCTGGTTGGCTCTCCAGCCTTTTCTTTCATTATTTTCTGTGTAAAACATTATGTTTTATTAATAACATAGAGTCTCTGTTTCTTAGAACCATTCCCCAAACTTGGCCATTGTTACTCTCTAAACAAGTGAATCTAATCAATTCATGAATCATTACTGGCTGGTGAACTTTAGTAGAAATAATTATAACACAGTTTTTTAGTTAAAAAAATCCTACCTTTTCTTCCTTACAACATTTAATCAGAAGTAGCTTATGGAAAGAACTTAATTCTGGATGCCAAGAATCATGGATTGTGGCCTCCTTTTCCTGTGTTGTGCTTTTCTCTTCCTCCTTCATTTTAGAATAGACTCCCTCTTCCTGTGGGTTAATGTAAGTCTCAAAAGACCCTGGAAATATAATTTTAAAAGATGCTTTAATTAAACTTGTTTTGATTTTGAAATTAAATAAACATATTTGGTAATTAAAAAATCTCTACATTTACTATCAGTCTTTACCACAAAGCTAAATATATTAATTTCCCCTTACCCAAACTAATTAACAAGTAAAGAATTTAAAATTGGATCAGACAGCAAATTCAACAGGAAACCACTTTCAAAAAGCAAAGCTAAAAATAATAACAGAGAGGTTAAAATAAAAGGATGCATTGGCTCACATTAATCAAATGTGAACAAAAAATTGAAGTGGTAAGAATAACAGTGGATAAATTAGAGTTTAAGGCAAAGATAATTAAATGGGACAAGGTAGGTCAGGTTATACTAATTAAAATACAAACCCCATAATAAAAATGTAATAAAATGAAACTATATGCTCCAGATAATAGCATAAAAATACATCAAATAATCAGTGCTGTAGGTAGAAGAAAAAGCAGAAAAAAACATAATAGTGGTAAGTGGTAGGATATAACACACAATTATCAGCCCAGGACAGATGAAACAAATTGAAAATTTTGCCACATATAATTTGAACAATATAAATAATATGGGAATAAATTGACATATATACAACTTTACGCCCTAAGAAACAAAATACATTGCTCCCCCTGCCCCATGGAATATAAGAAGTTGGCTTGCATCTCATGTGAGCGTTAGGATCCTAGTTAGCCCTTACAATGGTTATAACATGGAGTAAGAATTAGCATTGACATTCCCATAGGTACAGAGTGCACGCTGTGCTGTACGCCTCTCAGCAAGCCAACACAGCCAGTGCGTCCTCCAGTGATGAAACAGGTTCTTTGTGTTGAACATTAGGCAATATAGTTAGCTTACATTTCAAGCTAGAAAACTACTTTCTCCAGCTGGTCTGCTGGGGCTCTCCTCTGAGGGCTTAGTAATAGCAATCAAAGAGCTGCTGACAGAAATTTATTGACATTTAAGACCATGGCCCTGGAGAAGTGTGCACCTCTGCAAGACTTCTAATTTCTATATGGAATATAAGCAATTACATGGTGTGAGACCCAGGGCACAGCACTCCACTGTGCTCTTTAGTTGAAGGTGGTTGTATTATTCTGAGGACCAGGTAGTAAAACCATTTATTCCAAAAGGAGTTCTTTTCTCTCGAGGTTCTCATTATTTATTGTATAATCACTGGGGCTGTGGCTAATAAGACAGGATAAGACAAACTATTTTAGATAACTCTCAATTAAAGAGCATGAAGCACTTAGAGACCATCAAAGACAAAAGATTGAGGCAATTAAGAAGCTTTTGAAAGTAAGAACGACACTGGAATTAATTATTAAACTTCACCTGCAAAGATCTAAAGCTCACTTTTAGAAGACAAGCCATTCTATCACACGTGTACAAACCTTCACAATTCTGTAGGGTTTCTGGAATAAACCTTGAAATTTAACAAATGAAAGCAGGAAAGTTGTTTTAAATTGCTGGAACTTTAGTCCCAATTGACAGGGATAACATGGTGCCTTTTGTCCAAACATGATGAGTTGGTCCCAGAATTGCTTTGCCTTTCAGCCTCCTCCCTTCCCTCTTTCTTTGCCTCCATGTTTACAAGGCTCCATCTGGCCCTGCTTGCTTCGGATCTGCCTCTAGCCATCCATCTCTAGGCTACTCCTGTGGTGGTTTTCTTTCTGGCTTCTACCTCTACCTCTAACTGTCTTGTTTAAGTGGTCCACAATAGAGAAACATAATTTCTATTTGATGCATTTATTGAAGAGCATTTTATTTTCTCTAGTCTTTATTTAGAAATCAAACAAGCATAAGAGGATCCCAGAAATTCTGGCCCATTTATACTTTAAACCACCACACTTACTAGGTTTACTCAGTTAAATATATATTCATAATAGAAGTATAAGAGTAATTACTGAAAAATAGAAATAGAGCATAGAACCTCAAATCAGTAGAGGGGGAAAGAAAAAGAATATGCACAATATATCTGAAGGCAAGAAAGAAGAAAAAAAATAGAGCAGAGCAGAGAAAAAGCCTTCAAAGAAAAAAATCCCCACAAAAGAAGATGGTAGAGGTCAGTCCAAATAGATCAGGGTCTCCTAGCCTCTCCTCTACTGACATTTTGGGCTAAGTGGTTATTTGTTGTGGAGGATTGTTCTGAGCATTGTAGGATGTTTAGCCACATCCCTGGTCTCTAGGTACCAGATGCCAGGAGCACTACCTCGGTTGTGGCAACCAAAAGTGTCTTCAGACATTGCCAAATGTCCCCCGAAGGACAAAATCTTCCCCACTTGAGAGCTGCTGAAATAGATCAACAACCTTAATAAATATAATTGGATTAAAACTTGTCTGTTAAAAAAGAGCGACTTTCACAATGCTTAAAACAACAAAAATATCCTACCCTGAAAACATGATGATGACACAAAAGAGTTGAAAATGAAGAGTGAATATATAGAGGGAGAACACCAACCAAGATAAATCTGTTGTAAAAAATAGCATTAGAAACATATTATAAGGAAAAAAACACTATTCAGAGTAAAGAGGAATATTATTTAATAAAAAAGGAAAAATTTACTAGGAAGATAATAATCCTAAACCTATTTGTATGTAACAGTGTAGTTTCACAAGATAGAACAGGAAAAATTCCAGAATTACGAAGAGAAACTGCCATAGTGGTATACTTTAATATGCCTTTCTTAGAAACTGACAGATTAAATATAAAAAACAGTAGTCAAATAAACACAATCAATAAGTCTGATGGACCTTGAGGACATTATATCAAGTGAAGTATGTCATACAGAGAAAGACAAATACTGTATTATTTCACTTATATGTGCAATCTAAAAAAAAAAAATGAAACCAGAAATCCAAGCTCATAGATACAGAGAACAGATTGGTGGTTGCCAGAGGTGGAGGGTAGGGGGTGGGCAAAATGGGTAAGGGGAATTAAAATGTACAAACTTCCAGTTATAAAATAAGTAAGTTATGGGGATGTAATGTACAGCATAGCAACTATAGTTAACAATACTGTATTGTATATTTGAAAGTTGCTAAGAGAGTAGATCTTAAAAGTTCTTATCAGAAGAAAAAAATTCCGTAACTATCCACAGTATGGATGTTAACTGGACTTATTGTGGTGATCATTTCACAATATAAACAAATGTTGAATCATTATGTTGTACACCTGAAACTAATATAATGCTGTATGTCTAATATACCTCAAAAAAAAAGTTAAACAGGCCAAAAAAATATATATAAGCTTGAGCTAAAGGTCACATATGGAATCTTGCATCCAAGAAATGACACATATGGAACCTTTTTTTATAAACTGAAGTTTATGTAAATTACAAAGAATCAATTTCATGCAAAACATGAGTATAGTTTCCATAATATAATTAAATTATAGAAATAAAAAGTCCCCCCAAATCCTAAATGCTTTCAAACTAAAAAGTGTACTTTTAGAATTGAAAGGGCTACATAGTAAAACTTGTGGGGGAAAATCAACATAGAATGTTATAATTCAGGGCAGTCATTACCTCTGGGGAAGTCGGCAAGGGTCCTGTGAAGGAACATGAGGGGATTCTGGGAGGCTGGTATGGTTTAGTTCTTGGCTCAGGTGGTGGCTCATAAGTATAGCTAGTTTTTGATAATTAATCAAGTTGTACAATTTTGATTTGTGCAGTTTTCTGAATGTATGTTATCCTTCAATTAAAAAGTTAAAAAATCCTATGGGATGCAGCTAAAGCATTACTTTGAGGTAAATGTATCCCCTTAAAATGAGTATAATAGTAAACATTGAAATAGTGAAAATTCATGGGCCAAGCATTCAACTTAAGAAATTGGGAAAACAAGTAAATCATAATTTCTTAATAATGAAGACATTTCCTAGTGAAAAATATTGATATTGCAGAAGAGTTAAAGGAGACATTAAAATTAGGATTCACAAGCTTGTTTACAACCCCCCATAGCAGATCCTTTTTGAAATATTACCTAAGCGTATGGGAATAGGATGTAACAGTATATATTTTGTAAGTCCTTTAAAAACTAGAAACGATTCTTCTAAGTCACAGCACGCGAACCATGTGGCAGTAACCAGCCAGGGAACTTCAGGCTTAGGCGGGCGTTCCTATTAGAAGATGGAAAGAAAATGAATAATAATTCACAAAGACAACCACAAAACATGCTTTCACCTTGTCTAAGTGAAAAATCAAGCTCTTATAACATGTTAAAAATAACCATTTACCTAAGACAAGTAATAAGATATGGTGAAATAGAAATGATGTTGAATCACTTCTACCTGTAGACCTTTGCACAGAAGTGTAGCTGATGGAAGCATTTCGGGTTGACTTTTACAGAAAGCAGTTGATCTGGTGAAGGATTAAAATTAAATCTATTAAATCTACTTCCAGCCTGTTCTCCACACCACATCAGTCTCTCTCGACTCCCCCAATATTGTCATGATTAATGATTTGTTTTTTCTAGAGAACTAGTCTTCAAATCAGATTCCTGGAGGTGAGAACATCTACGGGAATGCTGGACAGATGGGAAGCTGTGTGGCAGAGCAATATCAGTAGCGAGAGACGTGGCATCTCATTCCAGCTGGGCCCACTGTATGTCTAACCATCTGATATATTCCTAGCAAATTTCTGGGAAAGTATTATGCCATCTGGCAATATTCCACAAAGCATGTATATGTGGGTAAACAGTTTGAAAAGAGACAGAGAAACAGCTGTGATTGTAGACTGAAAACTACTTCTTTGAAAATTTCATGAATATTTTCATGAATGGCTGAAGTTCCATACTACATTTTTCACCAGCTTTATTGAGATGACATCTGAATATCAAAGAGAAATGAAAACATGCAATTCATTCAAAGCATAGAATACAATGTATTTTAGTAAATTCAGCAGATATGTGCAACCATAATGACAATTTTAGAACATTTTATCTCCTCAAAAAAAACCCATGTATTGTTCAGCTATTACCCTCCTATCTGCTCATGCCCCCCAGCCCTAAATAACTACTGAAATGCTTTCCAGATTTTCCTATTCTGGATAGTTCATATAAATCAAATTTTATAATATGTAGTTTTTTGTGACTTTCTTCTTTCACTTAGCTTAATGTTTGCAAGGTTTATTCCTGTTATGGTATGTTTCAGTACTTCATTCCTCTTTATGATTGAGTAATATTCCATTGTATGGATATACTACATTTCACTTCTCTACACATTCATTTATGGACATTTGGATTGTTTCCATCTTTTTGGCTATTATGAATAATGCTGCTATGAATATTCATGTCCAAGTTTTTGTGTGGACATATGTTTTCATTTCTTTTTGATATATAGCTAGGAGCGGAACTGCTGGATCATATGGTAATTCCATGTTTAATTGTTTGAGTTGCTGCCAGACTGTTTTCCAAAGCAGCTGCACCATTTTTCATTCTAGCCAGCAGTTTATGAGGGTTCTCATTTCTCCACATCCTCACCATTACTTGTTATTATCTGTCTTTCTGATTCTAGCCATTCTAATGGGTGTGAATGGTATCTCCTTATGGTTTTGATTTGCATTTCCCTGAAGAATAATGATGTGTGAGAGTCAAATAAAAGCATGATGTCCAACCTCCCAGTGATACACTGAGGCTCAAATACTGGCAAACAGGTGCAGATGTCACGTCTGCAGTGCCAAGGGCGAGGCTCAAGATTGGCAGGACAGAGCCAACAGTTTAGAGTGGGCCTGAGATGGAATTGCAGGCAAGAGTTGGGGGTTCTGTGGCTCACTTCTATGGGCCACTAGGTTTGTGGTACGTGGGTGAGTTAGGCCAGTTTAAGGGGCTGGAACAAATTAGGCAAAATGTTTGAAAGTGAAGAAGGAAACTGTAGCAGAACTTGTAATAGAGTATTACAAAAGGCAATGATCAAGTTATATTACTTCCTGTGCTATATAATGAAAGATGTGTCCAGGCAAGAGAGGGTCAGGGTTTCACAAACAGCATTGCCAAATCTGTGAATTACAACTTTTATTGGATTTTAACTCTTCATATTTCTAAGATGGCCAACTTTTCAGAACATGTTCACTTCTACTAGCTCACTGGTTACTCCCAACATCCCTTTTGTATAGATGAGGACACTGCTGAATAAAGATGTTAAATATTAGGGGCCAGCCTGGTGGCGCAGTGGTTAAGTTCGCATGTTCCACTTCTGGTGGCCCAGGGTTCACTGGTTCGGATCCCGGGTGCAGACATGGCACCGCTTGGCAAGCCATGCTGTGGCAGGCATCCCACATATAAAGTAGAGGAAGATGGGCATGGATGTTAGCTCAGGGCCAGTCTTCCTCAGCAAAAAAAGAGAGGAGGATTGGCAGTAGATGTTAGCTCAGGGCTAATCTTCCTCAAAAAAAACAAAAAAGAGGTTAAATGTTAGCAACATTACACAGCTCCTGGAGGCAGAGTGAAGCTGTAGTCTGGGCCTCCTGACCCCTAGCGCCCTCCCCACTGGGCCACACAGCCAAATGTATAAGCTTCAGCCACCGTGGAATATTGTTGGGTACAAGTGGGCTCTATCTAGAATAACATTTACAATCTAAACTTGAAACAGGTACCTTTTCTAATCCTGCAGAACCTCGGAGAAAGAAATTCCATTCGGCATCAGTTAAGTTTCCTTGCTGACGCATGATCTCAACACAGAGCATAAAGCTGTAGATGAGTTTATGTTGCTCAAAAAGTCCTCTCGAGATGTTGACATAAGCAGTTAGGAGAGTTTGTTCCAGTAGTATCTCCATGCGCTGCTGTAGATCATCTGACCTTGTAGAAGTTTCAATTGTCGTATTGAACAACTGTGTGAAAGAGAGCCCTGTCAGTGTCTCTGATTTAGTTCAATTTCTGTGAAGGAAAAGAGAAACCTCTGCTCCCTCCTCCCCATATTCAGTGAGTAAATAGCAGTGCAGGAGATGAATACTGTGCTATGAAAAATCCAGAATTCATCCCAAATGCATATGTGATATTTATTTTCTGCACTCCCCTTTCTCTCCCCAGTTTTTAGACATGGACCAGTGCCAAACTCCTGACAACATTCACAAGGCATTATCTTGATGTGAGACAGAAAATGTTGGAAAATGGAGGTGAGCTGGCAGAACCAGTTTTTTTATATCCTCATCTCAGATTTGATAATCACTGTGGGGTGAGAGATGTAAGGGCAAGGTAAGGTCATATGCTCTTCTTGACACTTCCTCAAGATAATTCTTAGGGTATGGGAAGAATGTGCTAGAATCTTCTTTGAAATTTAAGAGGAACCAGTTTTAAAGGAGACTTCCACCCTGCTTCCTACATGGAAATTTTGAAAGCAGGCCTGCTGCCCCATGTTACAAGGACATTGGAAAGGCTGCAGAGATGGTGGCATTGGGGGCTTAGGCATGAGAGGGCCAGAGCTAGCCTTACCCATTTCCTGCAACTTTCAAGTAGCACGAGAGGAAGATTTAAAAATTCCCAAGAGGGCCAGCCCTGGTGGCCTAGTGGCTAAGTTCAGTGTGCTCCACTTTGATGGCCCAGGCTTGGTTCTGGGGCACGGACCTACAACACTCGTCTTTCAGTGGCTATGCTGTGCTGGCAGCCCACATACAAAAAGGGTGAAGATTGGCAACAGATGTTAGCTCGTGGCGAATCTTCCTCAGCAAAAAATAAGTAAAATAAAATAAAATAAAATAAAATAAAATAAAATAAAAATTCCCAAGAGCTCCAAGCTGTGTGAGGAAGCTGAGCAGAGCCTGAACTCGTAGGCCTGCCTGGGAGCCATGGGGCAAGGGGATCTTGCAGCAGAGACTGGGGGAGTCTCATGAGGGACTAGAGGGGCATGTGGCTTCAGTCTCAGAGGATCCACAGCATAAAGGCAAAGGTGTGAGGTGAGGCAGGGTCTGCGCAATCCCTGGGCCACCTTGAGAGGGATCAAGATGCATTGCTCACGGGGAGATCAGACTGATCCAAACAGACTGGGAGCTGGAAGCCTGCTGAGGACCAAGGCAGATCAGGGTCAAGAGTGTCCTCCACTCCTCCCCACAAACAGTGCTGTTGTGCAGGCTTCCATGTGCCCACCCCTCCTGCTAACACGATGGAGTGGAAAGGGAAAGAGCCTGACTGTGTCGGTCTCCTCACTGAAAGATAGGCCTCCATTCCCCAAGGGTCAAGAGGCTTGGAGCAAGCAGACACTTATTTTAGAGACTTCAGAGAGCCCTTGTTTTTCTCCCCAAAGTTTGGTGGACAAAGGGTCCTGGAGTTGTTACTTTAATACACTCAGAAGAACAGAGGATTGAGCTTTCTTTAACATCCTGACAAGAAGAGGAGAGGTTAAAGTCCAGTGAAATGTGAAAAGTTTGGTGCCAGTATAAAACATGGTGAATCTTGACATAGCCTAAATAGTTTCAGTGCAAATGGAATTATAATGGGTTTGGTGGAGGATGTCCTGGGTTTCTAGTCTCCCTTCCAAACAGCAAAAGTCCAGTGTTTTGATGATTCATCCTATATCCCTTTTTCTGTCAGCCCAAGGTATTTTCAGAGCATCTTCATTTTTATTTCTTTAAAAAATTTTTTTTTATTTTTAAAGATTGGCACCTGAGCTAACAACTGTTGCCAATCTTCCTTTTTTTTTTCTTTTTTCTCCCCAAATCCCCCCAGTACATAGTTGTATATCTTAGTTGTGGGTCCTTCTACTTCTGGCATGTGGGACACCGCCTCAGCATGGCCTGATAAGTGGTGCCATGTCTGTGCCCAGGATCCAAACTGCGGAAACCCAGGGCTGCCGAAGCGGAGTGTGTGAACTTAACCACTCGGCCAAGGGGCCGGCCCCTTCATTTTTATTTCTTGAAGGAGATTTAAGAACCTTGGATGAGAAAAGTGTTATTAAAGTCATTTAGGTAGAATTAAAGGATTTGCTAATCCTTACTTTGCTTGGTTTAATAACTGCCAACTAAAGGAAGGGAGCAGAGATGTGAGGGCGGCAAACCCTGCCTTTAGGAACTGAGATTTGACCTCAGTACAAATGGCTTTTAAAGGCCGCTAAGCAAGTGCAGACCTTGTTGGGAGAGAGCCCAGGTGCATCTGAACAGCATGCCCCTCATTTCTCTGAATTCTTCATTTCCGTTCTCTCCTGCAGCTCCTATTGCTGCTGGGCCCATAACCACATCAAAAGTACTAAACAAGACCTTGAGAGGAAAAACCACACTTAGTCTAGTGTCATAAAAATTGTTTGAATATTTCAACAGCTTTTTTATGGAGAGGCAGAAACAGCCTCTTCATTCGTGAAACACTCATGAAGTGTTCTCTGGTGCTAAGCACCCAGGAGGGGAAACAGGGATGGGTGAGGCTTCATTCCTGCCTTCTGGGAGGCCAGACTCTGGCAGGAGAGAAAAGCCCAGCACCACAGCAATGTGGTGTAAGTGCCATATGAGGCGTATCGAACGTGTTGGATAAAAGACTGAGGCAAATCGTTTGCTACTCCCCTCACTGGGAAGTGGAGTCTGAATCCCCTCCCCTCGAGTCTGGGCTGGCCTCAGTGACCCACTTGACCAAGAGACTGCAGCAGAAGCAATGACGCATGACATCCAAGGCTTGGTCGGAAGAAGCCTCGCAGCTTCCATCTTGGTTTCTTAGAACATTTGCTTTGGGGAGGTGCTCTCTTGGAACCCAGCTGCCATGTTGTAAGAAGCCCAAGCCACATAGAGAGGCCACTTGTAGGCCATTGTTGACAGCCCAGCCATGAGAGTGAGCCATTTTGGACATCTAGCCCAGTCAAGCCTCCAGATGACGTCAGCCCCAGCAAGAGAGATGACTTCTCTCACTGGACAAGATGGCAATTCAGCTGGGGGAGAGGGCATTCTAAACAGAGGGAGTGTCATAAAGATAAAAGCATCCAGGGGCCGGCCCACTGGTGAGGCAGTTGAGTTTGCACATTCCACTTCAGCAGCCTGGGGTTTACTGGTTTGGATCCCGGGCATGGATCTATGCACTGCTTGTCAGGGCTAATCTTTCTTCCCCACGCCCGAAAAAGTAAAAACCAACCAACCAACAAAAAACAAAAGGTAAAAGCATCCAGTGAGTCTAGGGAATGTGAATGGATCAGTTCGGCTGTTGCAGAGGAGAGTGGGAAATGTGGCTCAAGAGACAGAACAGGGACAGGGTGGAAGTGGCTTTGGTGTGTGAACTGTGTTTGATTGGCAAAATCCATTTAGGACCCCATGTATGTGGAGCAGTGTTTTGAAAACACTCGGCCTAGGCTGGCCTGGCTTCCAGTGTGAAAGCCAGCATTGACTAAAGGTATAGAGGTTTACAATAGGAAATAACGATGTGTTGCAGGCAAAGAGGATATGTTTACAGTTCTCCGTTTTCTATTGTGAGTGGTGCATATGGAGAGGCCTTTGTCTGTTGAGTTGTGTTATGAGTGTGAGCACAGATCTTTAGAGAAGCGAGAGGGAGCTAAACTGCTCTGCACAGGAAAGGGAACAGTATAGACAAGAGGGGAATAGGAGCCCGTAGATGGGAAAACTGAGCCAGAGAGGCTGTGTGTGGGGTGGGCTGGGAGGAGGAGGCCACTGGTAGCTGGGAGGAACTCTGGAGGCGAGCAGAGGGGACCAGCGAGGATGCTTGGTCAGTTTTGCTGTGTAATAAGTGCTGTAAACTGTCTCCCCTGGACGTCTTCAGGCTAATTACCATTGCTTGCCAAAGTTTGGTGACATTGAATTTGCTTTTGGGAGATATAGAATGCTGCTGCAAAGAGGATGAGGGGCGAAAATATCCTACACATGAGAGATTAGATGAAATTCAACTGTGAAGATGAGATCAAGAAGAGAGAACACAAGTAAAACAAGAAAGTCTCACAGTAGTACAGTGAAAGCAGGAAAGGGACAAAGGAGAGGAGACTAGGGCATGTACAATTCTTCTAAATAAAAGCCAGGGGTGGGAGGATAGCCTGTTATATAAAAAGTTCTGGGAAAAAAAGATACAGCAGCCAATTTGCTTAAGGTCAGTACTGTCAGAGACTTGAGCTACAACACAGAAAACTCCAAGAGTGGAGAGGAAGCTGGATTGTTACAGAGAAAGTATAAAGAAACAGCATGGAGCTGTGACTCTTAAAAGAAAAGAAAAGGGCAGGCAAGAAGGAAACAGCAAGCTAGTTAGTCGAGGAAGCCAAGAGAAAATGAAACTCGGAAAAAAGCTTTCTTTTCTTCCCCTACAGAGTGTTCTGGACATGCTGCGCACTTGAGTCTTTAGGAAGCGCGGCAAGTGGGGCCACTCTTGAACCGTAGTCTGAAGCCAAACTCCTGGAGGATTTAGCTGATAACTAGACTCGGGCCTTGTCTGAGGCAAAAAGTGACTCATTAGGGTTTAAAAGGAAGCCGAAGAGAGAAAGTTCACTACCACCACCCACCACCACACTTACCTGTTTAAAATATTTTAGTGAATACTGATACATAGGATCTATTTCGGAGAGGCTGGCAATAACAAAGTATATAACAGAGCCTTGAGTGGCGACTGGACGATACTTCTCACGAGCGACGTTTATCATCAGTTCAGTGGATTCTGCTTCCTTCAGCCTGGTTTTAATGGCACCAGAAGTGATCTGAATAAACATATGAAAACAAGTTCTTTTGGATCTGTTTCAAATAAATGGTAGGATTTTTGGAATATATCCAGTTAGGTCTAGGAAAGAAACAAGGATATGATGAATTAGTGATTCTCATGAGGGGGTCCCCAGATAGAATGACTGAGTCTCAGGATTCACTGACCTTCTGACTGAGCTGACCTCCTTTCCTTCCAGAGGGGGAATGGGCAAATGGCAACAGGCAGTACAAGTAGGCCCGAAAAGATTGGAGCAGTACTTATCTGAGACTGGAATCAGATTTACTTCTGAAATGCAAACACTAACACAGCTCTCCCAGTTGCTCCCTGACTGCCTTGTGAGCAGTCCTAAAATGACCCAGGGTACGCGCGTAAGGAAGGAAGCTATGAAGGGAGAAGGGACACTGATGATACTGCCCAAAAGAGGGGGCTAGAGAGAGGCTGGGAGGAAGTGGTACCACATCCCATTCTGGAATAACAAGGAAGACTAATAGTCTCCTCTTTCTTTCCCTCG